GACAACTTTACAGGAGAGGAGTTTTCAGTTAAAAAAGCTACAAAGCTTCTTCTCTCATTATACCCCTTAAGAAGAGATAACCTCTCTCAGGAAACATCTAATTCTAATCTGTATGACAATTCTTAGATAAAAACAAAATTTATATCAAACCAGAAACTGGATATATTTTGGCAATTATTTCACAGGGCACTACCTTTAGGCTACTGTCTAAAACATATCTCCCAAGAAGAACTAGGCTACTGTCCAAACTGCCAAAGCTCTATACAAACTATTGAGCACTTTGCTCTCAACTGCGAAATTAGCAAGGCAATCTGGAAGACCAGCTACAATATACTAAAAGGTTCTAATGATGAGATCTTCACAGCAACAAATATTAAAAATACAAAAAAATGTAAAGTAGCCATATGAATTCACGTTAATACTATCTACGAAATATGGTGCTAGTATACCTCTGCTAAATGGGAAGAGAAAACTACCCCTCTTAACCTCATACCCGAAATTACAAAAATGAAACTTAGGAAGATTCTTAAGATTCTTGTAAAGAACTTATCTCTTAAAAGAAGTAGCCTAGACAGAAATTTCATTACTAAATTTCTCAATTTTACTATGTAATATAGTTAGTTATAAATAATATTTTTTAATAAAAAAGACGCTTACTGCATAAAAAAAAAAAAAAAAAAAAAAAAAAAAAAAGTAATTTAAATAGGATTGAATATAGGACTATTAGCAATACAAGAGTTAAATAGTTTAATGAATAACTTTATAACAAAATATATGCTAAAAAGTAATTAAAAATTACTACAAAGAAATTTTAAAAAAGAATTACTTTGAAGAAACTCTAAACAAATATTATTAGCTAAAACTTATAATATACAAAGCAGTTTTGATAAATCTAACTATTATAAATCTTCTGATTCAAATTCTAATAATAATAATGAATCATATTTTCAAGATACTAAAAATATAGATCTATTATTAATTCAAAATCCTATTGTTTATATAAAAAAAGATGCTTTATACAAAATATAGTTTAAGAGATTACAAGAAGTAAAACAAAAAAATAAAGAGTATCAAAAAACTAAAAGGTAAAAACTAACTGAATATTAGCAGTACTATAAATCTAAATATAATAAAGCTAGCTATAAAAAATAGTATTAAAAAAATCAAATTCCTTATTCTTATTAAGTATAATATATTATTGAGATATGTATATATATGTAAATTGAATATTTATTGCTTTTAACTGAAAAATATACTTACTAAACTAATATGTTATTCAAATTATAGTTAGAGTTAGATTAGTAATAGTATTAATCTGTTAGTTAACTAGTATTAATATTAGCAAATTAGATATATTATATTAATAGAGTTAATTAGTAAAATTAGTAAATAGGTCTGGTGATCTTAGTCTAGTGATTAGGTTGCCAGTCTGCTATGCAAGAGGTCTGGGGTTCAAATCCCATTATTGACAAATTTGAATAATTACTCAGACCTTTGTACTCAACTTATAGTAAACTCTACTTGTTTCTGGGGGTTACAACCCTGTAAATCATATTGCACCAATGTTAATCGGATATTGGAAGTATGACGCAATGCTCAAGTTATATTATACAAATAAATCTTAATAGGATCTATGAGCAGGAGACCTGCATAATAGAAATTCTGAGTTTGGTAAAGTAGTATGGATTTCAATGGTCAAGTCAGTTAATACCTAATCTAGTAAAAAACCTGAGTACGAAGGATGTGAGATCAATAGGTGTGAGTAAGTTTACTGTGTAATATAGGCTAGTATCTTGCATTAGTAGCAACATCAACTTGGCTTGGCAGCTAACTAGATTAGGAGGATCTACTTCATGAAACATCTAGCTAGAACTTGAAGGACTATATCTGGTAGACAGCCACAGCAGGAACTGGGTTTGTATGAACATTGACAAGGGTTCAATTCAGATAAATCAGTGAAATAGACATATAACCACACTGGTAAAAATCACTTCTGAAGTTAACTGGAGCTCTGCGTGCTCACAATATATTGGGCAATATACATCTTGAGAAGATCTAAATTATGTGATAAATGGATTCCTAAGTAAGTCAGCTGGCTTAAGCAGTCAGATATAGGGGTAACGTTAGTTTGAATAGAGGGAAGAATTAATAATCAGAGTGTTTAAATAAGTAACTCACAGGCAGGTTGCAGGTATAGCAGCATAGTATAGAACTAACAGATAGTCGATCATCTGTATGATGGACTACTTAAATTAGACAATGACTAAAGTTGTACATGTGGCTTGTTATACACTCATCATGTAACTGTAAAACCTTAGGAAACTATTCATGTAATAGTTCCATAATAACAAACTAATAAAAATCTAATCAGTCAAAGAAGTAGCCTTAATAACATAAAAAAATAAAAAAGTATCAATTCTTGTAGATAAGATATCTGATTCATATGCTCGTAGTGTTGTAAATATTCTTTTTTCTTATCATAATATAACTAAATTAGTTGAAGTAAGTTTTTTAACTCAAGTTAATAATAGAACAATTAGAGAATTAATTATTAAAACATTAGTTAAATAGTCTATACTATTTGAATATTCACGTCTTATTACTTCAGACTCTACTATATATATGAAAAAGTGTTATTGTAAAATTTTAAAACCACTTTTACCACAATTAGTACATAGTCCTTGTTTAGCACATATTATAAACTTAATTGGAGAGGCATAGATTTCTATTGAGCAATTTAATATTATAAGAAAATTTATTAGTCAAATTAAACAAACACTAGTATATGCAAAAGCACATCAAGGTCGCTATACATATTACCTTCAGTGTAATGAAGTTATTGCACTAAAAAAAGTTCTACTCCTATCTGAAACACATTAGAATTCTTGATATCAAATAGCTTTTTATATTAATGAACATTTGGATTATATTTATATATTCTATCAACAAGAAGCAATTAAGAATCCTTCTGCATCTGTTAATGAAATTGCTTCTACATTTAGAAATATTCAATCAAATAGTTTTATTCGAATTTTTTTAAAATTTATTACAATCAATGCACAGTTTCTTGTTTCAACTCTAGATTTTTTTCAAACTGAAAAAGAACCTGTATTTCCTTTTATTGAAACTTGTTTAAACCAACTTGATCAATTTTTAATTAATAACAAGAATTCTACTAATTTTAGATCTGATTTAAACACGTTGATTATCTCATTTAATTTTCAGTCTAATGATTTTATTTTCATTTTTCAAAGTGTATTTGACAAAGCTTACCAAAAATATGAAACTCATATTATAAATCATCCTGCTCGTTCCTTTTTTCAAGATTCACAAATTTTTGATCCATGTTTTATCTATCTTACTACTGCAAATCGAAATCTTC